ATGACCCGCGGGAGCACCGAGGAGGGTGAGGGGTCCCGGGGACGGGATCCGAGGGCGTCTGAGGGGCCCTGGGGATGTGTGAGGCCCTCGGGGGAGGGCGTGGGGCTTGGGGGTTCCCAAAGGCCTGCGGGGAGTGCCAGGCCCTGTGGGCTGTGTGACTAGGTAGGAGTCCTGTGTCCCTGGGGAAGCCCGGAGCAGCAGTCCCGGCACTGAGCCTCTCCGGGTTTCCACAGGTGCGAAGGAGGACTCGTTCAATGTACTGGACCTGGCGGAGTACACCAAGAACCAGCCCTGGTGGCACAAGGTCTTTGCCCCCAGCTCAGGGTCGAGTGCAGAGAAATATAATGTGGCCACACAGCTGGTCATCGGAGGGGTCACGGGATGGTAAGATGCGCTGGAGTTGCTGTTGCTGCTTGTTGCAGGCAGGGTGCTAGTGGGCACTAGCCAGGCTTTTGGGAACATGCTGACAGGTGCAGAGTGCTCATCTGGCAGCCTTTCAGAGAAGGCAGGTGTCCAGCTTGCTCAGCCCACTGTGCCCTGGCATGCTCTGCTGACCTGTAGGAGGTCTTAAAAGCTGTCTCTAACATGGAGCTGAAGAAGTGAGACTGTCTCCTAGGGAAGACAATGACATGAGGCTTTAATTTTTGAGCTGAGATAATTAACTTCTGGCATAAAGTGTGGTGGTGAATTTAGGACAGGCAAATATGAGCCTCTTGGAACAAGGATACCTTCTTTCCTGGAGGTGGATGTGCTTTGGGCATCTGCACAAATACCTCCCATGGAGGTGGCTTATTGCGCCTGTGAGCATGGTTCCTGGGCCTTTGTGTCGCATATAGCAAGTACTTGGGCTGGTGGCTTGTGGCTCTACTTGCAGCTTCATTCCCACAGCAGCATTGTTTGAGTTGAAAACTTGGTGTAATCACATTGCTTTGCTTCTTGCTGTGCCTGTCATCTTCGTCTGGCACGGTGGTATCCATTTAAAAGCATATGACAGATCCTCGTTTTCTGATAAAAATACAAGCTGGCCATCTCTTATATCTTCACTAAGTGTATGTATGTAGAAATGGGTAAGAGCAAGTTGCTGTGTTGATAAGGAAATGTTGATAAGGAAGTAATTGTCAAAGTCAAGTCTGTTTTGGGTGACACTATACGCTAGCCCTTTGCATGACTGAGCAGTGGCATGGTGCTTGCTTGAGTTCTTGTGGCTGCAGCGATTTCTTTCATGTTGAAAGCATGTAATCCAGTTTGGAGACCAGTTTAGCTTTAGACCACTGCTTGTTTCAGCATTTTTCTCTTCTGAGGAAAGGAAAAGTAAATAGTTGTTTGGGCAACGAAGAAGTTTGCCTTGTGATCAGCTCCCTATGCTTTATCATGGAGGAGCAGCAGATGTGCTGCCTAGTTTCCCTTCAGAGACTATACCGATTAAAAAAAGTTAAAATCACCTGTTAGTTTGGGTGAAATCACATGTTTCTGATTACCCTTTTGGGATAAGGTTGACATTGAAGAGGCAGAAGGCTGAAATGTGATAGAAGTAGAAAGCTGTAAAGCATCACTTTTGTCTGAGTGCAAATCCTTTCTCTTTCTCTCTGGTTGCATGTAGGTTTCTCCTGCTGTTCATCAGGCTGCCTCCAAGCCTTGGGTAGTTGCTGCCAAGGGCAGCCTTGCCTGTGGGAAGCATGCTGAGGAGTGTGTGTTTGGTATCTCATTCTCCTGACTAGATCCTGGTTAATTTGTAGGTGTACTGGATTCATCTTCCAGAAAGTCGGAAAGCTGGCAGCAACAGCGGTGGGAGGTGGCTTTTTCCTACTTCAGGTATGTATGAACAGTGGCCAGGCTTTCTGAGAACCACGCTGGTGGGGGTGAAGGGCTGTCTAGTTATCATTACCTGTTGGAACATGTGAGGCCAGTTCCCCACTCTGCCAGGAGCTCTGTGTGGCTGTGGATGTCAAGGGCATATGTTCTTTGGGATACACCGATGCAGCAGCAAAGCAGGATCAGTGCGCATAAACTTCAGGATCACCAAAAGGTGCTGTCCCCTTAGAGTTTGCTAACAAAGGCCATGCCAAAGGCATGTGGGTGCTGTTGCTGCAGGGGCACCCGAGTGAAGCAGGAAGCAGCCTTCAGCTGTGGCAAACTGTGCTGCTGCAATCTGGTCAGAACTGGGTACTGTACTTAGTCCTATGCCTGTGGAGATGGTGTCCCTGGAGGAACAGCCCTGGATGTCAAGAGGGATTTGTCCATGTCCATGATATGCTTCTTGTCAGCCTGGCTACTTGAGGAGCTGGGCCAGCACAGATGGGGCTCTCTATAAAGCAATGGGGAAGAGGAGAGAAACATAGATCTCTCTCTGTCCTCAGCCATTTCTCCTGGCTTCCAAGAACCCTGGCATCGAGGGATGCTGCTCAGATGTGGACATCTAGGTTGTACATTCTGCAGGGAGAAGAACAGCTCTCAGGCCTCACCCAGCATTCTTATTTGTTTGCTTCTCAGGCGCTGTCTCGTGTGTGGCTTGTTCTCCCTGCTCTTCTATCTCTGCTTGTTCTGCTGAAAGCCAAAAGATTGCTCTGAGCAGGGAGAGTTTCACTGATGAATCATCCTGACCAGATGAAATATTTAGAGAGGAACAGGCTATTAATAGCTGTGTCCACCCACAGCAGCAGGATAGCTGCAGAGTCCCAACGATATATGTGGCAGTTGTGAGGCGGAGGTGATGCCAGCTTTACATTATAGAGGCTGAAACAGGCTAAGCTGCAATGTGTACCCTGCTGTTAGGGGATTACTGTGGGAGACAGATGTTGCAGGACAGTTAATACATCCACAGGGGTGGTCCTTTGTCCAATTTTTAAGTTACTGTGCTTATCCTCTCAGCCCATTGGACCAATGTGTGGGAGGTGGTGTGGTCAGGGAGAGTGGGTGGGCAAAGGGGGTCTGTTTAGCCAGGGTCATGCAGGACTTTACTCCAGGAACTTTCTTTCTACCCCTTAAAACTCTAGATTGCAAACCACACTGGATACATCAAAGTGGACTGGAAGCTAGTAGAACGGGATGTGAACAAAGCCAAGCAGCAGCTGAAGTTTCACAAGAATGGTAACAAAATGTCTCCAGAAGTCAAAAGCAGAGTGGATGAGGTGAGACAACTCTTCCAGGGCATGTGCAGGTGCTTAGCTGGAGGGACAGCAGAAAATGGATCTTCCATTGTGGAAATACAAGGAGGGAATGCTTTCATGACATCAAAACTGGAGATATGGCACAGGCTGTGGATCTTGTCTACCTAGATTTTAGTAAAGCCTTTGACACCATTTCCACAACATTCTCCTGGAGAAACTGGCTGCTCGTGGCTTGGACAGGTGCACTCTTCACTAAGTTAAAAACTGGCTGGATAGCCGGGCCCAAAGAGTTATTGCAGTGAATGGAGTTAAATCCAGTTGGTGGCTGGTCACAAGTGGTGTCCCCCAGGGCTCAGTACTGGGGCCAGTGCTGTTTAACATCTTTATTGATGACCTGGATGAGGGAACTGAGTGCTTCCTCAGTGAGTTTGCAGATGACACTAAATTGGGTGGGAGTGTTGATCTGCCCAAGGGTAGGAAGGCTCTGCAGAGGGACCTGGACAGGCTGGATCGATGGGCTGAGGTTCAACAAGGCTGAGTGCTGGGTCTTGCGACTTGGGTCACAACAACCACATGCAGCACTACAGGCTTGGGGGTGAGTGGCTGGAAAGCTGCCTGGTGGAAAAGGCCCTGCGGGTACTGGTTGACAGCCGGCTGAACATGAGCCAGCAGTGTGCCCAGGTGGCCAAGAAGGCCAACAGCATCCTGGCCTGTATCAGCAATAGTGTGGCCAGCAGGAGTAGGGAGGTGATTGTGCCCCTGTAGTCGGCACTGGTGAGGCCACACCCCGAATCCTGTGTGCGATTTTGGGCCCCTCACTACAAGACAGATATT